CTCGTCTACGTTTTGTGCGTACTGGGCATTTTACTGTCTTAATAAGTCGTCAATTTCACACGTGTCCATAATGACGTTAGTATTAAACCTTAAAGCTGTAGGGTCGTCACCTGCGCACGCGCGGGAACTTGAATTGAGTCTCAAGCTACAACACATGCTAAAACGCAAAGGCTTATGGGTAGACGCGTATTTGTAAACATTGACACTCTATGTCCATCTGACGCATGCGCAGGTGACAACTCCCTGGCTTTAATTGAGCGCAAAACGTGATAATGAGTTGAAATCCCATCTCAACTTTTGTTTCTCGGCACTTCTTTGTCCCACATAAAACACACGATTGCGCGAGACTTTATCCAAATACCACGTGTCAAGCGCGTGCCAATTTTAAGTTCTACCTGGCGCATGCGCAAATGCGAAGTCACAATTTCAAACAGTGTTTCAATCGGGGATTTTAAAACTTTCCAATACTGCATGTTGTAATGAAAATGGTTTAAACAAGATTCACGGTAGAGAACACAGTAGCGCCGTGTTGATATTAGACCATATTTGCGATTAATTTCCGCAAGGCGGCTTCATTTATATATGGTACCCGTGGACGCTGCGTTTAATATTCACGATAAATTTTATCTTGGAGAATTCGGATCGGTTTCTCGTTCAGAGTGAATAATAATTAGACGAATACCTGCAAGGTAAAAACGACTTTAGCATGTACAGCCAGTTATAATCATGATGCAGCCCAGCGTCTAATAAGTACACTACTTTGTTTTCTGTCGATCTCGATACATGGTATGGGGCACAAAACACAAAATTAAATATATCAACACTGGTCAATTGAAAAAAAAAAACTGAATTATTTTTGATATACCACTTTTCCGCCGAGAACATAAAATAAACACATTCATGGTGATACGACAGTGCATGTCCTGTGTATATGTGTCAGGAAAATGGAGGGCTGCCTATTCAAATGTTAAATATGTATCATGTTTTGTTCTGCTTGCAGGTCGGGTCATGCCATTTCCGCCAACATAATGATGACTGGGAATATTTGATGCGGGAGATGAAGTGAAATGCTCGATTGACCGCTTACTAAAAGGTGTTTCCACTGTTCAATACAAAATGGCCGGCAATGAGATTGAAATGCAATATTTGTTTCTATAGATACCGGAGGCGTCACCGCTTGCTGGTGCATTGTGGGTGATTATATGTTCGACTTGAGTGATGTATTGCCTGGTGACTAAGTTGTTGGATTGTTATTGATTCCTGAAAGACCTCGATGAACTTGACAATTTGCCTTGCGTACTCGGTAGCTCAACGATATGTGACTGCTGTCATTCTGATCAATTAGCTTAAAGCGGGAGGGTCGTCACCTGCGCA